AAACAGCGCGACGAGATAATCTTAATTCTAAGATTCAAAGTTCACGAATTACGTTTGAAATTGCAGGAAACCTACCCGATGCATTGGAGCACGATTGTTCAGCTTGCAGCGAGAAACAGAAGGAAATCGCTAACAAAATTTCGCATTACTTGATCGATCACAAGGCGGAAGAATGGAGTCTCTTGGAGGCCAAGTACGATCCAACGGGGGCCTACAGGCAGCGTTACCTTCAAGACCGAGTCAAAGAGAAAGCTATAGATTAAGCAATTCGACGTAATAACGCGCGACGTAACGTAAATGTTTACACAGAGGATCCACTGCGATCGGCGATGATACAACTTGAATTTTTCAAACAGTAGAAAAAAGAGAGACAAGAAGTGGAGGAATTGAAATTTTCTTTTAATCTACCAATCTCGTGTCCAATCCCTGACGAAGCGTCTCCCGAACTAAATCTGTTAGAATTGCCACGACTACGTTGCTTTTCAATTGTTCGATCCGAACAATCGACTTTCTACAAAACTACGGGACACCATTCGTCCAGAAACCATCGCTTGAGACTCGCATAATTTGCATGCAATTAGCGAAAACGATCTGTTTGCAACGTCGTTCGCAGACGCTTGTAATTAATTCGTAGCTGTAATTGAACGGTGATTAATGAACCTGCGTCTAATCTATCAACTAACTTCAGAGATAGGGACAGGATGCCCAATTGAGGGCGTTCAGCCGGAACCGAAAACCGGGACCATAAGCTCTAATAACTGGAGCTCCGTAGAAGAACAGACACGAACGTGCCCGGTGGAATTTCTCGATTATTCTCTGAAGACGATTACTCATCGTGATCCTTGACGCGATATCTCGTTTTTTGCAGAGAACGGAGAAGCCAGCCGTCAAAACTCGGCTGTTTTGCAGCCGAACATTTCATGCGAGAAATTGCAGCCGTGTGTGTCGCTGTTCGTTTAACCGAATTATTTGCTACGACGTTGGACGTTGTTACCTCGCGTGACATTTAAATTGACCAATAATCAGGTAGAAACCAACTCGGCCACAATTTGCGATCAATTGCACGCCCGTCAAAGCGCAGATAAAAACTATTAATTGAATCGTTCGCCGGATTTTTCTTGCCCGCCTGGTGACTTTATCAACCATTGAAGGACGAACAAAAGGGGAGACTTTCTCGGCGAAGTTGTCGTTTTATGAATTACTGTTACTCACCTGATCTCTTCATTTCGTGGATTTTCCGTCACGAAACGAAACGATATTTGCGTCAATTGTCCGACCAGTTGTTTGAATACAGACGAAGAGTAATTAATAATGTTTAGAATTATTAAAGAAGAATTTCATTTCTCTTGAATGAATTTAGAACCATTCTTACGTGTTGAAAATTCAATTCAACAAAATCACGTAATACTAATTTACGAAACTTCTTCAAATATTACGGATTAAAAATTCAACAAACTTTTTTTCGAACTAGTCTGTCTGTTAATTATTTCTTTAATTCACTCTAATCACATTCGCATTGAAATCCGATAAAATATTCACAAATTGTATATAAAAAATCCTGTATTGCGCGTGTAAATATTTCTAGACAAACGTGTGTAATGTTTTCTTTTCAATTTGAGTCTGCAACACGTAATCCGTAGCAGCTTCCTTAAATGCTACCATCCACCCCTGGTTTCTCGCGAGTTGCAAACGAAAAGAAAAGGGTGAAAAAATTGTATAAAAAGTATTCTTATCCTGTATTGCGCGTGTAAATATTTCTAGACAAACGTGTGTAATGTTTTCTTTTCAATTTGAGTCTGCAACACGTAATCCGTAGCAGCTTCCTTAAATGCTACCATCCACCCCTGGTTTCTCGCGAGTTGCGAGCGAAAAGAAAAGGGTGAAAACGAGAACGTCGTATAATCTTGTGCTACATTTTGCGGTTTAATGTTACCGAAAATATCCCGTATCCGGACATTCAAGCAGGCTGTAAGGTCCCGGATCCACGTGGGTGGTCGGATCCCTAGGGCTCACAATTCTTTGCCGCTTTCCTAGAAATCCGAGATTTCCAAAGGGCATGAGGCAAGAGGCAAAAAAGAAGAGAAAATAAAGGGAATAGAAAAAAAACGAAGGGGAGACGAAAAGTGACAACACGTGTTATTAGAAACAAAGAACTTGAAAAGACCTTAAAAAAAAAAAAAAA